GCTGTCTTTTCTCCATTGTATATTCTTGACTCCTTTATCAAAGATAAGGTGACCACATGTGCATGGGTTTATCTCTGGGCATCCTATCCTGTTCCATTGATCTCTATTTCTGTTTTTGTGCCAGTATCATACTGTCTTGATTACTGTAGCTTTGTAGTATAGTCTGAAGTCAGGGAGCCTGATTCCTCCAGCTCCGTTTTTCTTTCTCTATATTGCTTTTGCTATTTGGGGTCTTTTGTGTTTCCATACAAATTGTGAAATTTTTTGTTCTAGTTCTGTGAAAAATGCCATTGATAGCTTGATAGGGATTGCATTGAATCTGTAGATTGCTTTGGGTAGTATAGTCATTTTCACAATGTTGATTCTTCCAATTCAAGAACATGGTATATCTCTCCGTCTGTTTGTATCATCTTTAATTTCTTTCATCAGTGTCTTATAGTTTTCTGCATACAGGTCTTTTGTCTCCTTAGGTAGGTTTATTCCTAGGTATTTTATTCTTTTTGTTGCAATGGTCAGTGGGAGTGTTTCCTTAATTTCTCTTTCAGATTTTTTATCATTAGCATATAGGGATGCCAGAGAGTTCTGTTCATTAATTTTGTATCCTGCTAGTTTACAAAATTCACTGATTAGCTCTGGTAGTTTTCTGGTAGTATCTTTAGGATTCTCTATGTATAGTATCATGTTATCTACAAACAGTGACAGCTTTACTTCTTCTTTTCCGATTTGGATTCCTTTTACTTCTTTTTCTTCTCTGATTGCTGTGGCTAAAACTTCCAAAACTATGTTGAATAATAGTGGTGAGAGTGGACAACCTTGTCTTGTTTCTGATCTTAGTGGAAATTATTTCAGTTTTCACCATTGAGGACGTTGGTGGCTGTGGGTTTGTCATATATGGCCTTTATTATGTTGGGGTAAGTTCCCTCTATGACTACTTTCTGGAGGGTTTTTATCATAACTGGGTGTTGAATTTTGTTGAAAGCTTTTTCTGCATCTATTGAGATGATCATATGGTTTTTATCCTTCACTTTGTTAATATCGTGCATCACATTGATTGATTTGTCTATATTGAAGAATCCTTGCATTCCTGGGATAAACCCCACTTGATTATGGTGTATGATCCTTCACATGTGCTGCTGGATTCTGTTTGCTAGTATTTTGTTGAGGATTTTTGCATCTATGTTCTTCAGTGATATTGGACTGTAGTTTTCTTTTTTGTGACATCTGTGTCTGGTTTTGGTATCAGGGTGATGGTGGCCTCGTAGAATGAGTTTGGGAGTGTTTCTCCCTCTGCTATATTTTGGAAGAGTTTGAGAAGGAAATGTGTTAGCTCTTCTCTAAATGTTTGATAGAGTTTGCCTCTGAAGCCATCTGGTCCTGGGCTTTTGTTTGTTGGAAGATTTTTAATCACGGTTTCATTTTCAGTGCTTGTGATTGGTCTGTTCATATTTTCTATTTCTTCCTAATTCAGTCTTGGTAGGTTGTGCATTTGTAAGAATTCATCCATTTCTTCCAGGTTGTCCATTTTATTGGCATAGAGTTGCTTGTAGTAATCTCTCATGATCTTTTGTATTTCTGCAGTGTCAGTTGTTACTTCTCCTTTTTCATTTCTAATTCTATTGATTTGAGTCTTCTCCCTTTTTTTTTTTTTGATGAGTCTGGCTAATGGTTTATCAATTTTGTTTATCTTCTCAAAGAACCCGCTTTTAGTTTTATTGATCTTTACTATCATTTCCTTCATTTCTTTTTCATTTATTTCTGATCTGATTTTTATGATTTCTTTCCTTCTGCTAACTTTGGGGGTTTTTTGTTCTTCTTTCTTTAATTGCTTTAAGTTCAAGGTTAGGTTGTTTATTCGAGATGTTTCCTGTTTCTTAAGGTAGGATTGTATTGCTATAAACTTCCCTCTTAGAACTGCTTTGGCTGCATTCCATAGGTTTTGGGTCACTGTGTTTTCTTTGTCATTTGCTCCTAGGTATTTTTTGATTTCCTCTTTGATTTCTTCATTGATCTCTTGGTTATTTAGTAGTGTATTTAGTACTTAGTAGTAGCCTTCATGTGTTTATGTTTTTTCAGTTTTTTTCCTGTAATTGATAGTCTCATAGCTTTGTGGGTGGAAACAATACTTGATACAATTTCAATGTCTTAAATTTACCAATGCTTGATTTGTGACCCAAGATATGATCTATCCTGGAGAATATTCTATGAGCACTTGAGAAGAAAGTGTATTCTGTTGTTTTTGGATGGAATGTCCTATAAATATCAATTAAGTCCCTCTTGTTTAATGTATCATTTAAAGCTTGTGTTTCCTTCTTTATTTTCATTTTGGATGATGTGTTCATTGGTGAAAGTGGGGTGTTAAAAGTCCCCTACTATGATTGTGTTACTGTCAATTTCCCCTGTTATGGCTATTAGCGTTTACCTTATGTATTGAGGTGCTCCTTTGTTGGGTGCATTAAATATTTGCAGTTGCTATGTCTTCTTCTTGGATTGTTCCCTTGATCATTATGTAGTGTCCTTCTTTGTCTCTTCTAATAGTCTTTATTTTAAGGTCTAGTTTGTCTGATATGAGAATTGCTAGTCCAGCTTTCTTTTGATTTCCATCTGTATGGAACATCATTTTCCATCCCCTCACTTTCAGTCTGTATTTGTCCCTAGGTCTGAAGTGGGTCTCTTGTAGACAGCATATATATGGGTCTTGTTTTTGTATCCATTCTTCTAGTCTATGTCTTTTGGTTGGAGCATTTAATCCATTTGCGTTTAAGGTAGTTATTGATATGTATGTTCCTATTTCCATTTTTTAAATTGTTTTGGGTTTGTTATTGTAGGCCTTTTCCTTCTCTTGTGTTTCCTGACTAGACAATTCCTTTAGCATTTGTTGTAAAGCTGGTTTGGTGGTGCTGAATTCTCTTAGCTTTTGCTTGTCTGTAAAGGTTTTAATTTCTCTGTCGAATCTGAATGAGATCCTTGCTGGGTAAAGAAATCTTGATTGTAGGTTTTTCCCTTTGTCACTTTAAATATGACATGCCGCTCCCTCCTGGCTTGCAAAGTTTCTGCTGAAGATCAGCTCTTAAGCTCTGGGGATTCCCTTGTATGTTATTTGTTGTTTTTCCCTTGGTGCTTTTAATATTTTTCTTTGTGTTTATTTTTTGATAGTTTGATTAATATGTGTCTTGGCATGTTTCTCCTTGGATTTATCCTGTATGGGACTGTGCGCTTCCTGGACTTGATGACTATTTCCTTTCTCATATTAGGGAAGTTTTTAACTATAATCTCTTCAAATATTTTCTCAGTCCCTTTCTTTTTCTCTTCTTCTTCTGGAACCCCTATAATTTGAATGTTGGTGTGTTTAATGTTGTCCCAGAGGTCTCTGAGACTGTCCTCACTTCTTTTCATTCTTTTTTCTTTATTCTGCTCTGCAATAGTTATTTCCACTATTTTATCTTGCAGGTCGCTTATCCGTTCTTCTGCCTCAGTTATTCTGCTATTGATTCCTTCTAGAGAATTTTTAAATTTCATTTATTGTGTTGTTCATTATTGTTTATTTGCTCTTTAGTTCTTCTAGGTCCTTGTTAAACGTTTCTTGTCTTTTCTCCATTCTATTTCCAAGATTTTGGATCATCTTTACTATCATTACTGTGAATTCTTTTTCAGGTAGACTGCTTATTTCCTCTTGATTTGTTTGGCCTGGTGGGTTTTTACCTTGCTCTTTCATCTGCTCTGTGTTTCTCTTTCTTCTCATTTTACTTAACTTACTGTGTTTGGAGTCTCCTTTTCACAAGCTGCAAGTTCATAGTTCCCATTTTTTTTTTGGTGTCTGCTGTCAGTGGGTAAGGTTGGTTCAGTGGGTTGTGTAGGCTTCCTGGTGTAGGGGACTAGTGCATGTGTTCTGGTGGATGAGGCTGGATCTTGTATTTCTGGTGGGCAGGACTGCATCTGGTGGTGTGTTTTGGGGAATCTGTGACCTTATTATGATTTTAGGCAGCCTCTCTACTAATGGGTGTGTTTGTGTTCCTGTCTTGCTAGTCGTTTGGCATAGGGTGTCCAGCACTGTAGCTTGCTGGTCCTTGAGTAGAACTGGGTCTTAGTGTTGAGATGAAGATCTCTGGGAGAGCTTTCCCATTTGATATTACTTGGGGCAGGAGGTCTCTGGTGAACCAATGTCCTGAACTCGGCTCTCCCACCTCAGAGGCACAGGCCTGACACACAGCCAGAGCACCAAGACCCTGTCAGTCACACAGCTTTTGGGAAGTCTGAGGTCTTCTGCCAGTGTTCAGTAGGTGTTCTGTAGGAGTTGTTCCACGTGTAGATGTGTTTCTGATGTATTTGTGGGGAAGAAGTTGATCTCCACGTCTTATTCCTCTGCTCTCTTGAGGGTCTCTGGACACATTCTTGAACAACTGTTCAAGATATGCCGTCTTACAGGACAGCCATAGAGACTTCTGAGTCCACCCCGCCTCGACCAGAGGAGAAACCATAAGCTTCATTCAGAATCCTTCGGGTAGGAAGCTCCTTCCTGTGCTCCTTCCTGCACCAGGAGAATAGCGTGCCCCTGTGCCAATGCTCTTCCACCTTGGCCCAGAGGTAGAAGTCCAAGTCAAAAGGAGAAAAACAGCCTCACTGAGCAACCAGGAGTGTCACCTGTACCCAAGGTGATCTTAGCAGCAGCAGAAAGTACCTGTGGTGGATTTTCAGGCAGAACTCCATAATAGACGTTTGTTATTATTAGGCTAGAGTGTGTTAGGCAATTAAGCAATGAAATGCTTACTTTGGAGGCAAATAAACATGTGGGCAACTACACTACTATCAATTAAATGAGCACTTTAGTGCACTGAATGGCACCCTAATGAATGGTTCTGAAATGATAAAGTAATAATAGCTAATATTTATTGAGTGCTTATGTCAGGCACTGTTAAATGCTTTACAAGTATCGGCTTATTTATTTCTCACAACTCTGTGATAGAAGTACCATTTTTATTCCTCTTTTATGTATGTGGAAACAGGTTGAAGAGGGTATGGAAGTTGCCTGCAGTCACAGAGCCAGGAAGGGACTGATCCAGCAATGGAAGCCAAATTGTCTGCTCCCAAAGGCCTATCCTCACTGTGCAACACCTTCTCAAATGGTGAGTGAAGTCAGTGATGTGAGAAAATGAGCACAGAAGTTCAGAGTTAATGTCATTCCTGCTACATAAAGTTAGAATATGCACCAGGGCACTCTAACCTTCTAACATTTGTCAAAGGAGATTATGAATATGCAGTGATTAGCTCTGAAAAGAGCTACATTTTGTAACATGATGAATTACAAAAGCCGATCCTCCTAAATCCCAACAGAGAGGTCTGTACAGGATAAAAACATATCTTTTAGCTTGTTTCAAAATGAAAATATTATACAATGCACAAAAAAATTGTGGTACAGTACTGACCAGTTTCTTAGGACTTCAACTTTACTCTTATTTGTTCATTTTCTGAGACAGGAATAAGTTTATATAGAACTCTTATATGACAGATAGCACAGGCCATCACATTTTTCAGTTGATAACTTGAAGATACTTTGAAGTAATCCAGTTCAATCCTGTCATTTTAAAGGAGAAGAACCCAAGACTCAAATATTAATATCAAGCCGTAAGCAGGAGTGATTAAAAACTAGGCCTTTTGAATCCTTGTATTGAATATTTCCAGACAGCTTGCATAAATGGAACCACTGGAGGCAGAATGAATCCATTCCCCAACCCCCATTTCCACCTGCTTTGTACCCTGAATACTCAATTAGCTCTAAGAAAGCAAAATGAAGAGAAAAGCTCTGGGATGGGATTTTATTCCTCTCAAGACGTGTCAGAAAGTCATGAAATCTGGAAAAGAATTATCCCCTTCTGCTGGGCAAGGGATAATCTTTGCTATTGTGGATATGGTGGTCTGACATGACTAGTGGTTCCCTGGGGCTATTTGATATTTCTTAAATAAAGAGTCTTTGGAATGCCTTGCCGAGGATAGGTTGCCATGGAAACAGTGAAGTCAGCGGTTGCAGTCCTTAGTAAAAGATTTCATCTATTTGCATACCTAGCTGGTGCAAAACATAGCTGGTGCAGATTTTCAAAACAGCAGCCTTCCTTCTAGAGCATGTGACATTGACCATTAACTCTGATTCAGGACGTCATATGTTAAATGTCATTCTTCAAACAATGATGCTAAAGCAGTCTGGAGGAAAATACCATAAGGATTGCCAGGCTGACAGTAGTCTCGCAATAGAACTTGAAGTAGCAAAGCCTGGGTTATAAAGCCTGCAAAGCATCGTTAGCTCCCCGTCCCTTGCCCCCACTCTCCACCCTAGAAAAATCAGCCATGAGTATCTCTTTTCCATGTCAGTGATGGAGAGTAAAGAAGAAACTACATGAAGGAGGAAGGGAGAGTGGGGAGGAAAGAAGGAAGGAGAGACAGAAAGAAGAGATGGGTCCAGGATGACTTGCAAAATTGAAATGCACAATAACAAATGCAAACAAGGAAGCGACCAGTGTGAATTCTTAGGCACTGCTGGTGGTAACCATTTTGGAAAAAAATTAACACTTCTAGTGGATTTGAAAATGTACATAGTTGATGACCCTGCAGTTGCACTCCTTGGAACAGAGTCTCAAGGCATCCTTACACATGTGCAGCAGAACAGTGAAGAATGTTCCTGGCATCCCTGGGTGTAATAGCAAAAATGCTGGAGACTTTACAGAATTCTCTACAAACATCAGCATGGATGATTCTCACAACCTAATGTTGAGTTAAGAAGTAAGCCATACAAGGATAAACGCAGTAAGAAAGTAAAATATTCACCAACTAAACAGTAGGTCATTTAAGGAAGCATACACAAGTGATACAGTTATAAAGAAGAATGAGAGAATTATTAACACAAAATCCAGCATTGCGTTTATGTTTGGAGAGGAGAGAGGAACATTTTGGTTGGGAGAATAACATGAGTACTATGAATATTCTCTTGCTTTTAAAAAAATTTTTTAAAACTATGTATATCTCTATAGACACTTAAAATTACTTTTAAAATACTAAAAATTGAAAAATAGAAATTCACATACCATCTTATATCATTTTAGTCATTATTTTTATCTTTCTCAACAAAGAACATTATAGATGGACATTGTTATTATCAAACATAATAATAGCTTTTACATAGAATTCTATAATTTACGAAGACTGTTCCCAACACTTTAAGGTGGAATTGATTATTTTTGAATCACAACCAAATAATAGAGTCTCAGATGTGACATATACAAGGAAACAGAGCTAGAAAAGGAATAAAGTGAAACTCTGGTCTTGTGACTCAGTAGCCTGATAATGATTCTACAGTAATCGTACCAAAACCTCACACCCATTCTTGCTGTCCTCCTTACGCGGTACACCCTTTGATTAGAATCATTTGACTGTTGTTCTGTACCTCAAACTCCATGCTCTTATTGCTCACAATTCCTTTAAAGTCTTGTATTCTCTCACATGCCCAAGTCTTTGCACATCTTTGTACGTTTCCTCGGCTTGTGGTGCTCTGTCAAATCACAACTCCCCTCCAGCCCGCTTAGCTTGCTCATTCTTATTCATCCTTCACTTCTGAGCTTAGATGTCATTCAGTCCAGGGCACCTGAGCCCCCAGAATCAAGTTAGATGTCTCATAGTATCCTTGACAGCAATTATTTTCTAATTACTAATTTGTATCATCTACTACATTGTAAATCCCTTGAAAACAAGGGTTGTGTCTTGTTTACTGTCTTGTTCCCAGCACCTGGATCAATGTATCTGTTGGCTGTTGCCACAATGAGACTACAAAACAAAGCACTTCAAAACTCAGTGGCTTAAAGAGACAATTGTTTATTCCTGCTTGTGCATTTGCAGGTCTGCAGGGGTTTGGCTAGTCTGGGTTTGGCTCCAAGATGTGGATTGAATCCACCTCCACTTCACATGGCTCTTTAATCTTCCCTGGACCTGTGCACTAGCTCGATTACGCTCTACTCATAGCTATTGCAGAAAGGCAATAGAATGTGCAAGCATATTTGAGTCCTGTCTGCTAGTATTCTTTGGGATAATCACATGATGAAGCCCAAAGTCAATGGCAGGAAAGGACACTGCCATTAGTAAAGTGAACTTCAATGGCATGTGGAAAAGAGGGTGGATATAAGGAAGCGTGAAAAATCAGGTCTAATAATTCAAGTTATCACAACCAGTGCATGGCATACACAGGAGGGCTTCTAGATGTCAGAGTATGGCTTTGTTGCTCGCTTGCTTTCTCTTTCATGGGCCCCTTCCCCAATCACAGAGTCCTTTCTGTCTCACTCTGCCTCTTCAACCAGTACCTAACTGCACCTTTATTTACTTCTCCCCAAAACTATTTCCTACAAAAGCATGTCCTCTTCTTCAGCTTTGTGCGCCTTAATGGAAGACTAGGTCATCAAAATGTCTCAGAATCCAAGATAATGGATTTTAATAGCTTAGGTAGGTGATGGGGAAGATTTGGAGGATCCAGTAACCTTGCCTGAAACTCCTTAAATTCTTCATCAGGTCCCAGGAATATGCTTTATGGATAGTAGAGCTGAGCCACCAACATTCCCTTACCTCTGTCTCTTAGGGCAAGTGTTATTTTATCACTATTGTGAATGTCACACATTTACTCCTTAATAGTAAAGAATTTTCTACCCTTCTTTCTATACATCCTTTCTTGTTCAAATGGATAAAGAGGAACTGGGAGAGGAAGGAATAAGTAATGAGTGTTTTTAAAATGCAATCTATATTTAGTCTCTGCCTCAAATATATTTTATTTGGGAAAAGAAAATGTTTTATAGGTTTTTTAGGAGCCAGCATAAATACATAAAAATCATTTTATAGCATTCATAAAACCTTTTACTATCTTCTATATGAATAGCATAGTGTATATGTAGAATTGAAACGAAGTTTAATTATGGAATTTTAGTGAAAAACTTGAAGGTAAAGGTAGTAGCAATAATTTTACCCTATATTCATCATCATTCATTCAGTAATGCTTTTGTTAGGAAAACTTTTTACATTACTGGAAAAAAATTACAAGTCTGTAAACTGTTTTCTTGACATCATATTATTGGGATGTAATCAAGTTTTATTTGTTTCTGTTCAACAGTTAATAGAAAGCAAAAAAAAAAAAAAGATTTAATTTAAAACCTTACCTTGGCCTCACATACTGAGAAATGTATGAATGTAATGTGAATGTGAGCCTAAGTGTTTTGATTATTTGATTTGTAGTGTTCTGTGTGATTTTAAACAAGCCTGCAAGTTCTTTGGTCCTTTCCCCATTAAGATCTGTTTATGGAGACTGCAGACTTATTACAAGAGGTCCCTGAATTTCTGAAGTGTGATCAGCACTAGTGTAATGATTTTAGCTTAAATATTTGCCATTTAAGAAAGGGTAACTAATTTTTCTGTTTAATATGTATTTTAATTTGATTGTGAACCCTAAACTACGTGGAAGTATCAATATCATATTCAACTGTTTTCTTTTTTTTTTTTTTGCGGTACGCGGGCCTCTCACTGTTGTGGCCTCTCCCGTTGCGGAGCACAGGCTCCGGACGCGCAGGCTCAGCGGCCATGGTTCACGGGACCAGCTGCTTCGCGGCATGTGGGATCTTCCCGGACTGGGGCACGAACTCATGTCCCCTGCATCGGTAGGCGGACTCTAAACCACTGCACCACCAGGGAAGCCCCATATTCAACTCTTGAGAGATGACCTCTTCTAAAAATGAAAGCCAGCTCACCTTGTTTTGTGGGTTCCAATTAATTTGGAACTTCTGGGTCCTGTGTGTGAATTTGTCATAAATAGGCCACCATTTCTAACAAATCAGCAGATTCTTTGTCATTTTTGAACATCTAAGGATTAGAACAAAGATAATATGGCTCTGTGACTAATATTTTACTTTTGCAATATTGAGGTCTCTAACATTAGTCTCATGGCATTTAGCTATGTGTTTATTTTAATCCTAAAAAAGCTTAATTAAGCTATTCATGTCACATCTCTTACTTTCTTCCATAATTATGTTTATTAGAAAAAAATAATCCAAGCTATAAGCTTCTAGT